TCAAAAACCTTTTGTAACTTAGAAAATTATAATGACTTATCGGTGATGAAATTAATATGAATAGCATTAACAGAAAATTCCCAATTATTTTCAAAGATTTTTTAAGTCTTATGGGAAACTTATTAGTAATAAAAATTTGCATATTACTATAGTGTATACAATAAATGCAATAATAATTTTGAAAGAACTCGATTACCAGGGTAAAACGAATAATCTTTTAAGAGATACAGATATTTATTCCAAACTTAAATTGTATCCTGTAGATTCTGTTAACAGTAATTTTAATATAACAGTTGGTGGTAATGAATATTTTAATTAGTTCATCTTTGCCTTTCAGTATTTATTTTATTGTACCATACCTGTACGACACCCTTAAGCAGCTATAGGTTATAGCAGTATAGTAGTATTAGTATAACAGTAGTACTAGTAGTGGTAGTATAGTATAGTATAATATTGGTTGCATAATCAGTAGTAGTAAGCCTATTTAGATACAGTTGTATACAAAATCGTTTCTTCAACTTTCTTCATCTGTAGTACAATAGTTTTCTATCCATCACTTTCTACCTGTTACTGTACATTTTCTTCATTTTCTCTTCAAAACAAGTTTTTTTTTTTTTGATTCTCGTCCTTGAGAAGCTGAAACCTTTTTTTTTTTTTTTTTTTAAAAAAATAGCCGGTATTCTCCCGGCCCGGGCCTTTTCCAAGTGGTGGCCCGGCCTTGGCTCCCTCTTTAGGGAGTGTCTGAGACCTAAGTCTCCCATGGGAGGAGGCACAAGGACCTCCTCATCTTTGGGACTAACTGTCCCCAGGCCTAGCCACAAGCTAGGCCTCTCTGGTCTGTCATCCCCGCCCTAAGGGGGCAAATGGGAATGACAGTCTTATGAGCTAAAGGCTCGGGCTCAGGCACCTACCCTACCCTAGAAGGGTTAGGCATGGTGTCGATCGCTGAAACTTTGTCATTGCAACTTTCCATATCACTCTTAAGACCAAAAGTTTCAATGTACTTTTGATAAACTATGGTAAGAAAATAATAATGCTTCTCACATTACACAGGATTTGACGACACGTATTGAAGATTAAAAATAAAAAGAAGTGATAAGTAGAGAAATTAGGAAATATATTTAAAACAATAGAGTTGTTGATAATTACAACATATAAATTGAAAACGTCATGTGGTAATCAATTCTAAACTTTTTAATGCAAGGCTGAGTGTGTAAATATGATCACTTTCATTGATACAAAGAGGTAGTAACACCATCCTTACCAACCACCGTAGGTAAAAAGTGTTTGATAAAAAGCTGTAGCTATTAAGGCAGAATCCCAGTTAGTGCCGGCCATGACATCTTCATAGTTGCGTGTGCGTCCCCACACAAGATAGTACATACCAATTACGATGATCATGATGAGTGCCAATACCTTAGTCAGTGCCAGTATGTTCTGCACTCTGGCAGCCCATTTTACCTTCTTCGAGTTGACCCACGCTAACGTTACTGAGGAGACACAAGTACACATTGAAAGTAGACAAATTACACAGGATTTTAGTCATTAGAAACATAGTTATCAAAGTAGCAGACTGATTACGGTAAATTAAATTACGGATTATAAAAAAGAAAACATGAATTTTGAATGTTATTAGCTAGTTTCATTAATATATCACTGCAAATGAGTATCATTCTCTGCATGTTCGTCTCTCATTTAATTACCCTCTCATAATTACCCTCTCATAATTACTCTCTCATAATTACTCTCTCAAAATGAAAGGATTTTCTTCCATCTTAAAAAACTTCTTCAGAGAAAACACCTGCTCTTTGTCTTAATTATATATTTTTGACTATTATAATCTTAATAATTTGCATGTAGCTTAACTAAAGCAATTCCTATCTTTCTGTCATTGCGATACTACAGGAGTTACTTCCTTTCCTGTTCCTCTTGCCTTGTTTAATTAATATATTAGTGAAACAGACTACTCTATTTCTAATAGACTTAGTGAAAACCAAGTGTTCACCAAGCAGAGACAAATCATGTTTCACAGACGAAGTTAACTTTAGTCGAAACTAATATGCAGAATACCTAACATGAATCTTAGCTCCATCTTTCTCGTAGATGCTTGCCTTTTCCAGTATATTGGTTATGGTCAGGAATTGAACGAAATGTAGTCTAGTTTTCGCCCCCAATTTGTGGATTAGCTGTGAATTTTTCTAATAATATCATTGAATCCAACACCTTGGATAACATTAAGTGTGGACTGGACAAATACATGAGAAGGAATGGTTTGGTTTAAGTTGAACACGACTGGTATGGGCTAAAAGTACTTCTGCCATCTGACTTTTGCATATGTACTTCCTATACAAACTCTTCTAAAGTCTTTATCACAAAAAATCAGTGTGCCTGCTCACCGAGTTGTTCTGATGTATTTATGAGGTTGAGACTCAGATTCTTTTCCTACCTCCTGGACCACTCTGATCACCATCACTGATTTCTGGCCTTTTAGGCCTATACCTTATATTTATAATATAATATATATATATATATATATATATATATAATATATATATATATATATATATATATATATATATATTTATATATATAATATATAAACACTGATCTCTGGCTGAAGGAAACTCGAACTTACGAACCTTAGGACAAGGTACGCAGTGCTTTACCAATCTACCCACACTGGATAATACCTTGGCGTGTAGCTTGCGCTACACGTTGATCCAAGGCAGCCAGATGTAAGCCTTCTCCCTGAGAGCTGGCTGCCTTGGATCAAACATGTAGCGCAAGCTACACGCCAAAGTATTGTCCAGTGTGGGTAGATTGGTAAAACACTGCGTACCTTGTCCTAAAGTTCGTAGGTTCGAGTCTCCTTAAGGCAGAGATCAGTGTTTGTGTATATTTCGCCTGCTCTCGCGAATTCCTTGCACACACACACACACACACACACACACAGATATATATATATATAATATATATATATATATATATATATATATATTATATAATATATATATATATATATATATCCTAGGTAGTAGGTGTGTGTAGACAGCAACCGCCCAGGGAGGTACTACCGTCCTGCCAAGTGAGTGTAAAAACTTCTTATGACCAGAGCTTTGGTAAGATGGGTAAGGATAGAAATATTGGAATAGGGTGGGAGGGGGGGGAGAGGTAGGATATAAAAGGTAAGTGGCCCAACCACTTTGGTGTAATTTAAAAATTGTATGTGGAATAATAACGTATTCTTGAAGGAGTATAATACTAACCCATCAGAGTCACATAGATGTAACAGATATATAAGTACATGACTCTGAATAGGTAGTAAATATTCAAGTTGCAATTGCTTTTTTTTATGCGATTGCACAACGGATATTTAGACGACAATGAAGACAATAATTTTCTGACCAGTTTATAAAGAATTACTTGACACATTAGCTTCTTACAGGTGGTGTCCCGCCATAGTAAATGTAGCATAATTTTAACAGTAGAATGTTTTACAAGATGTCTCCCTAATTGGGGGCGATGATTTTCTTAGTAAACATAGAAGGGTTCTGGTATTACCCAATCATCTTCATCTGCAAGGAGGTTGCTCAAGATCATTGGTCGATGGTAATCGTCTTTATGGATAAAACGACGGACCCTCTGTGGGAGAGTCATTCTTTGAGTCCTGTGAGGAGGAGTATTGATGATATAATCTGTGGTATTTTCAACTTGGAGAGGATGTTCTCTATCTGACATGTGTAGACAGCCTGTACTGCCTGCACAGACAGCCCATGCTGTCTGCCAGGTTAGTTCATATTTCGCGCCATGCTGGTGCTGCCACCTAGAGGCCTTGCCACTTCAGTATGCCCAGACTTGCCTCACTCTCACTCACACAGCGGCCTAGCAGCAAGACACAAGTACTCCCAGCTCTCTCTCGTGGGATGGCCCTGCCCGGGCCATGGGCACAACACACAAGCCTGTGTACCCACTACGACATTAACAATAAAGTAAGAAGCCTCCGAAGAAGTTTATCATTCACACCCCGCTTGCAGCACTACCAAATAAACCTCATTATAAATGGTGACAGCGGTGCTTGCAGCAGTTGTGTTTGCCTGGAGAGAGGGAGGAAGAGGTATGAAGTCATCTTCACTTCATCACCCTACACAAGAAGCATCCGTCTCTCAACGAGTTATCCTGATGTCGTGTCTGCACGTTTGAGCATCCAGACACAGGTACAAGCAGGATCCAGCCGAAATTTGCCGAATTTCTTCGAGAATTGTGAGTGGCATCCCAGTGACTCCACGCTACAGTGTCCCACGCTGTTTCTCAAGTCACGTGTTCAGCGTCACTTGTATGTTGCTGTTGTTGTTCAGCTCAGCACAGCTGTTTCAGCAAGCCAGAGGTGAGTCTTGTGGTGATTTCTGCGTCCAGTGTGTTTCCCTGTGTTTGTGGGTGGGAGGAGGAGAGACCGCCAGATGCTCCCTCGCCATACACTCACCCACGCTCCACGCTCACCCGTCTACCATACACTCACCACTGCCCACTCCCTCTGCTGTGTTTTCTGCTGTTTTCCATGTGAATTCATTGCCAGAGCTGTGTATCCGAGTGCCCGAGGCCACTCGAAGCTACGTGGACCAGCATGCCACGTAGATCACGACGCCACGTGGATCGCGACGCCATGTGGGTGTGGGCGATGTCACGTGGATCTACCAGCCACGTGAGTTACCAGATGTCCCTGGCCACATGCTGTGGTCTGCTGCCCGCATCACATTGACGTCACCCACAATGCTGCCCGACTTCATGACGTCACGATGTCTGCCTGACGTTACCTCGAGATGTCTGCTGACGTCACCTCGAGATGTCTGCTGACGTCACCTTGAGATGTCTGCTGACGTCACCTCGAGATGTCTGCTGATGTCACCTCGAGATGTCTGCTGACGTCACCTCGAGATGTCTGCTGATGTCACCTCGAGATGTCTGCTGATGTCACCTCAAGATGTCTGCTGACATCACCTCGCGTCATCACGCCTGACATCACATGTCACATCGAGTGTTTCTAGTAATTATTTTAATATTGTCGAGAAGATTGAGAGAAAATATATGTCGTGTGTTAATTAATTCCTCTCAGTCAGTGTTCTCACATGTTGTACCACGGTGTGTTTGTAAAGTTTCCGTGTGTCCAGTGAGGTCTGAGCCAGACCTGAGTAGCACCTCTGTGCTAAGTCACCCGTGTGACCAGTACGTTTGACAGCTGATTACTCAGCCCTGAGATTATGAGCCCTCTTGTACAGAAAGCTTTATGCTCCTCGCTCGTGTTGTTCTGCAGAATTGTACCTGCTACGATTCCCATCGAGATTTGTTTCACTTCACCTCCAGACCGTCAGAGTGCAGTTATATGTAGAGAAACAAGTCTGGGGACGCTTAGACTAACCTCTGCTATAACTCCAACTGTGGAGAGAATGACACACTGTCAGCCTTGTCTCACAAGCTTCAGTGAGCAGCCTGCACATAGCTCTCTCACTGCAGTCTGGTGTATGATGTTACTACTCCCAGATGTTTCGCCCAGTCGTCTCTGCCACGACTCGCTCCACAACTCGCTCCATGCTCGCCGGCAGTGACAGCCCAGCGACAGTACCAGTCGAGAAGTGTCCTCCTGAGTCGCTTGCCAGAAGTCCTGCCCAGTTGCCGAGTTTTGTTGACGCCTCACTCGAGGGCACCAGCATGTTGTGCCCCAGGTTGAGTGAAACCTGCAGCGACTCCTACGATGACTGCTTCACCGTTCCAGAGGAGACCGTAACCTGTTACGTCACAGCTCAGCCGCAGCGATGTCTCCCATGTTGCAGTATCTGTCCAGACGCAGGAAGGCATGCAGTGATGCCCTTCGACGCTCACTGCCTTTGACCACGATGTTTAGCACACCCCACATGTTTTTTTCTTCCCTCCCTGTAGGAAGTTTTTTTTCCATGTCCATATGTATATATATGTTTTTATTTTGTGTTCTGTGCCCTGTTCCTACGAGAGAGAGACCGAGCTCCTTTTACCACCAGTATTGTCGCGTCGGGACGACGCGAGGTAGGTGGCCGAGCGTATGTAGACAGCCTGTACTGCCTGCACAGACAACCCATGCTGTCTGCCAGCTTAGTTCATATTTCGCGCCATGCTGGTGCTGCCACCTAGAGGCCTTGCCACTTCAGTATGCCCAGACTTGCCTAACTCTCACTCACAGCAGCCTAGCAGCAAGACACAAGTACTCCCAGCTCTCTCTTGTGGGATGGCCCTGCCCAGGCCATGGGCACAACACACAAGCCTGTGTACCCACTACGACATTAACAATAAAGTAAGAAGTCTCCGAAGAAGTTTATCATTCACACCCCGCTTGCAGCACTACCAAATAAACCTCATTATACATGTAGAGTTCTTGCATTGCATAGAGTTGTTTCTTCTTAAGGGTGTCAAGACGTACATTTAATGCAGTAATATCTTGTACGTGTAAATCTGCCATTTTAACTCTGTCTCTCCTCCTGGTGCCAGTAATGAAGCGGAGAGCTCTATTCTGGAGCCGTTGCAACCGTAGCATGTTGATCTTTGTTGTTAATGACATTGGGACACATGGGTATTCGAGTATAGGTCTTATTATCATTTTATATAGATGTTTTTTGACATGTGGAGGGGCTTGATTAAATCTAAAGAGACTGCTAAGACCGGCTTTGGCTATGTTGATCTTTTTAGTTACATGAGATGTTGAGTGGAGCAGCCTGTCTATTTCATATCCCAAGATCTTGTTAGGGTTTCTAATGGCTACAGGTGTGCCTCTGATGGAGAGACCCCCCTAATCTTCGATAGTTGATGCAAAACGTCCTATCGTGCTAACCAGGACTTTGTCAGGGTTAGTCGTAATTCTCCATTTCTTTTCCCAATTAGATGCTCGACGAAGTTCAATGTTCATTTTTTCTATGACTCTCTCATACTTGTATTTTCCTGTTACCGGAGTTGATGAGACGACATGGATAACATCATCTGCAAACTGAGTTATAATTGTATCATTAAACTCTGGTTGAGGAAGGTCATTCACATAAATGTTGAATAGAATTTGACTAAGACAAGAACCTTGTGGGACACCAGCTGTCGGTATAAAAGGCTCTGTCGACCCGCCGTGAAAGGTGGGAATGATTTCTCTGAGGTAAGAAGTTATATATTAATCTGAGAAAGGTCCAGTTATGGTATGGTAGGTCAATAAGTTTGTATATAAGACCATCATGCCATAAGCTATCAAAAGGTTTATGAACATCTCTGGTGGCAATTAGGGCAAGATTGCCCTGATGTTTTATACTTGCTACAGTATCGAAAATAATATTTATTGCATGATGGGCACCTCTATGTGTTCTAAAGCCAAATTGTTTTTCAGTAAAAAGGTGATTAAACTCCATATAGTAGTTCAGTCTGTTGGAAATGATCTTCTCAAGAACTTTTCCAGTGACTTCAAGTAAAGATATAGGTCTATAGTTCCCTGGTTGATGGATGTCTTTATTGGGCTTAGCAAGAAAGATCACCTTAGCAGTCTTAAAAACAACTGGAAAATGTCCTGAGGCCAAGATGGCATTAAAGATATTAACCAAAGACTGTTTACAATTTCTGGGTAGGAACTTTATTTGTTTCATTGTTATTCCAGAGAGACCAGGGGCTCTATTTCGCATTCTTCCAATAACCAGACTCATCTCGAGTAATGTAATAGGTCTAGTAAGCAAGTGGGCATCTTCAAGAGATGATGTATCGATAGAAGGTAGTGGTTGTAGATCATCTAAGTTCTCATCTCTTGCTGCAACCCCTGAACGGGTTGCAATATATATAATGTATATTATGATTATGAATATAATGTATATTACCTTTTCATATAATTTTATATTGCTTATATTTGCGATAATAGCTAAATCGTAAATGTATTGCTTTATATTATTATTTGACTTATGTTGTTAGGTAGGATGTAACATATTATGTGCTCAGTTCAAGTCTTGATTGTCTAACTACTGCAATTATCACTTGTGGCTCGTTAGACTGCCGGCTTCTTGCTGGGCAGCGACCCACGGAGCTATCACATGATCGAGGGGGGGTGTCCTCACCTCGCCTGAAGTATTCAGTCTGGTCTAGACTCTCTTGGTGGTTGGACAGATTGTCTGTCTCATTATTCTTGTTAGTTCTGTAGAACTCTGTTCACAGAACCTTGTATAGACTTAGTGATTTTCGACGTTGTACTGAGGTTGTGTGTCTCATAGACACTCTGAGCATCTCAGGTCCTGAGCTGTAGCTTCTCACTTAACTTGTACTGGTATCTGTGTACTGTCACAGTCGGGGATTTTCTTATGCTGAACTGAGATTCAGTAGTATGGGAGTTTTGTGACTTTTGTGGAGGATCTGCAGATGGTCCCTACTTAGTATCGTTATATTATCTCATTGTTCTTGATTCTGTGTCGCAGTTGCTTGCTATATTGCTATTGGGCTTAGCATTCTTTTTATTGTTCAAGCAGACTGTTCTGACTGCCAGCTGGTTAAGAAGTTAGTTTATTTGAGGACTTTGTCAGTCACTTATTTAAGTCTAGTCGAGTCTTGAGACATAGCGAACTACTTAGAGCACTTACACACATACATACACACTTGTACATATTTGTAATATCTTATTAAATGTTAATGTACCAGACGGTACTTAAGAATTATAAATGTGATATGTGCTTTCAGCACAATAATATTGTACTCGAGAGAAGTGATATTATTTTGATTACTGTGATTTATTTAATTTAATTTAATTTGATAATATATCTCTAGACTTAATAAATTTATTAAATTTTAATTTCTCTAGTTAGTAGCCTACCAGTTGTAATCCTGAAGCACTATTGATTCATACTGAATTCTAATGGATAATTGGACAAGGATACTGACTACTTGTTACAAAAACCCAGTAACAGGCTGGATGCTAGAAGGGCAGTCCTTTCTAGTATTCACTGGAGATCTCTAAGCTTTTAGAATCATGTTTTTTGTAACAAATGGGGGCCCGTCCGGGATGCTCTTGATCCATGGTGTTGGAGAAATTGTCCAGTTTGACATACTAGTAACTCTATGATCAAACACTTTGAGTACTTTCCTAATCTGAAGACTTTGAGTTTAGTCTTGTACAACATACCAGGTGGATGTATGTACCTGACTGAGTCTCTTGATCCAAGGAGATGGAAATACTGTTTATGAGTTCTAGCTCTAAGACAACCAACACTAAAATTCCTATTAGGATTATAGTTTCCCATAATCACTCTCTCGTAGTACACTTATTTTTGTAATGTATGCCAAAGTGAAACAATTAATTGATACTCTGACATTTAGTTAAGTACATTAAACCTTCAGACGTGTTGGCAAATAGCCAAATATCTCGGTGTGACGTATAACAGGAATTACACCGTAGAAACTGTGAGAGCATTAATTAAAGATATATTGTTTCCTGCTCATACAGAGATGACTGAATATGATTCAGATTCAGAAAGCCTAGTGTCACAATTAGGAAGTATGACTCTATTTGATGAAGAAGAAAGAGCAACTAAGGCAGAAGTGAGCCTAGTGTCCGAGCCTAGTGTAGCTCAGTTCTCGCTCACGCCTTCCCTCCTAACTGTTAGGTTGGCGCAGCCACATACTAGTACAGTGGATGCTACACCAATATCTACTTATTCTAGACCAGATCTAGACTCTCTAGAGACGGCTGGACTTAGTGTCCGACCTAAGGACAGTCCAGAAAGACATGTTAATTTCCTTACTCCTCCATTACCTACTGGTCCTATCTCTCAGGAACAGTTTGAGAGGTTTGAACGCCTCATTATGTTGCAGACTGCACAAATAGAGGCACAGAGGAAATTGAACGAAGAAGATTTCCAAAGAGAAAATGTTCGTCTGGGAAGACAACAGACTGATAGATCACAGGACACATTTAATGTGCAGAAAGCTGCATCCATGGTTCCTAAGTTTTTTGAGGGTGACTTAGACACCTATTTTGATGTGTTTGAGAACCAGGCACGTGCTATGAACTGGCCACGTAAGCACTGGGCAACCTTGTTGCACACAGTGTTGACAGGAAGAGCTCAAACTTGTACTGCTGCTTTACCATTTGCCAAGTACATTAGTTATGACGCTGTCAAACAAACTATTCTAGAGACATATAACTTGTTACCTGTAAGTTATCAAAGAGCATTTCGTACGTTACAACGACGACAAGATCAAACTTGTATAGAGTTTGCTCGTGAGAAAAAAGTTGCATTTGAGAGATGATCTAGAGCTGCTAAATGTAACAACTACGACAGCCTTGTTCAGTTGTTACTACATGAAGAGTTTAACAACTGTATGTCTGCTGACATACATTCGTCTCTCAACCCTTGAGTGGAGAGGACGTGTGCTGCTGCTGCCCCCTGGAGTTGTCTGGTGGCAGTATTATTTTCACCAACATGGCGCAGGCTCGCCGGCACAGGGTAAATACTGTCTGCATTGAATTAACCAGTAGAGCTGTAACGCGGCCATCAATGGAGTTGCTTTTGCCTGCAATCATCAGAGATACCTATGGAATAGCCAATGAGGAAATTTGTGGACTTGCACTGAACGGTATGAAGAGGATTTTTGTAAAATTTAGTTCGGCAACTGTGTATGAGGCAGTGGTGAATAAGTTTCAAGAGGTGGCCATACCAGTTAACCATGCTGTGACGGTGCAGCTGCATGATGTGTCCAGCTATTACACATGGGTTAAGATCAGGAATGTGCCGTTCGAGGCGGATGCATCTGACATCCGGTTCATTATGTGTAAATACGGCACAATACATACGATCACTGCAGGAAGGTGGTCAGCTGGCCCGTATATGGGGATACCTGAGGGTGCATTCTCTGTCAAGATGACGCTCAGACATCCAATTCCATCGTACGTGATGATGGAAGATTTCAGGACTCAGGTTTTTGTAACGTACGCTGGGCAGCGAAGCACTTGCCATTTGTGCAGGTCGTATGATCACCTGGGTGCGCAATGTGAAAGAAGACGTGGTGATAAGGACCAGCAGCAACGACGAGATGTGGAGGAAAGGAGAGAGGATCAAGATCAACTGTTTTCGACTCTGCCTCAGCAGAGTTTGACATGGAGTGAGGAGGTTGAGAGGGCCGAAGAAAAGGAGATGGCAGGGGCTACGCGGGGGGACGACATCAATTCCCTGGACGTTGTACAAGTGCTAGATGAGGTCATCGCGGAAGCGAATGGTAGCGACGCGGAAACGACGATAGTGACGACGTTTGAGAACATTTTGGGTAATGAGAGTCCTTGTCAGGATGTTGGTACAGACCTGGATCATGGGTCTGCAGTTGAGGAGGGCGTGGTGATGCCAGCCCGGCCTGAAGTGTGTCGTAAGGATGCCAAGTTGGTGAGAACTGTGGAGGTGGAGGTTCATCATGGCACTGAGCTGGATGACTTGATGCAGGTCGAGGGTACGACGCGAA